TGGTGTTATATACGATGAGCAACAAAATCCATGTCATGGTTTTCTTCAAAAAACTGCATGTTAAGTTAGCATGATCACGGCTACAGGTCTCCAGGTGTAGCAGATTTTTAGTTTCTATTTTATTGCTGGTTCTCTGGTCTATCCTGGTGTTATTTACGATGAGCAACAAAATCCATGCCACCGTCTTGTTAAAAAAAGTGTACGTTAAGTTAGCATGAACACTTGTAGTGGGCTACAGGTCTCCAGGTGTAGCAGAAATTTAGTTTTTATTTTGTTGCTGGCTCTCTGGGGTGTCCTGATGTTATTTGTAAATAGCAACAAAATCCATGCCACCGTCTTGTTAAAAAAAGTGCACGTTAATTTAGCATGAACACTTGTAGTCGGCTACAGGTCTCCAGGTGTAGCAGATTTTTAGTTTATATTTTGTTGCTGACTCTCTGGGGTGTCCTGATGTTATTCGCGTCCAGCAACAAAATCCATGCCACTGTCTTTTTAAAAAAAGTGCATTTTAAGGTAGCAGGGACACTTGTAGTAAGCTACAGGTCTCCAGGTGTAGCAGATTTTTAGTTTATATTTTGTTGCTGGCTCTCTGGGGTGTCCTGATGTTATTTGTAAATAGCAACAAAATCCATGCCACTGTCTTTTTAAAAAAAGTGCATGTTAATGTAGCAGGGACACTTGTAGTAAGCTACAGGTCTCCAGGTGTAGCAGATTTTTAGTTTATATTTTGTTGCTGGCTCTCTGGGGTGTTGTGATGTTATTTGCGTCCAGCAACAAAATCTATGTCATCGTTTTCATAAAAAATGTACATGTTAAGATAGCAGGATACGGCTACAGGTCTCCAGGTGTAGCAGAATTTTATTTTCTATTTTGTTGCTGGCTCTCTGGGGTGTCCTGATGTTATTTGCGTCCAGCAACAAAATCCATGCCATCGTTTTCATAAAAAATGTATATGTTAAGATAGCAGGGATACGGCTACAGGTCTCCAGGTGTAGCAGAATTTTAGTTTTATTTTGTTGCTGGCTCTCTGGGGTATCCTGATGTTATTTGCGTCCAGCAACAAAATCTATGCCACTGTCTTTTTAAAAAAAAAGTGCATTTTAAGGTAGCAGGGGACATTTGTAGTAAGCTACAGGTCTCCAGGTGTAGCAGATTTTTAGTTTATATTTTGTTGCTGGCTCTCTGGGGTGTCCTGATGTTATTGCGTCCAGCAACAAAATCTATGTCATCGTTTTCATAAAAAATGTACATGTTAAGATAGCAGGGATACGGCTACAGGGTCTCCAGGTGTAGCAGAATTTTATTTTCTATTTTGTTGCGGGCTCTCTGGGGTGTCCTGATGTTATTTGCGTCCAGCAACAAAATCCATGCCATCGTTTTCATAAAAAATGTATATGTTAAGATAGCAGGGATACGGCTACAGGTCTCCAGGTGTAGCAGAATTTTAGTTTTTATTTTGTTGCTGGCTCTCTGGGGTGTCCTGATGTTATTTGCGTCCAGCAACAAAAATCTATGCCACTGTCTTTTTAAAAAAAGTGCATTTTAAGGTAGCAGGGACATTTGTAGTAAGCTACAGGTCTCCAGGTGTAGCAGATTTTTAGTTATATTTTGTTGCTGGCTCTCTGGGGTGTCCAGATGTTATTGTAAATAGCAACAAAATCCATGCCACTGTCTTTTTAAAAAAAGTGCATGTTAATGTAGCAGGGACACTTGTAGTAAGTTACAGGTCTCCAGGTGTAGCAGATTTTTAGTTTATATTTTGTTGCTGGCTCTCTGGGGTGTTCTGATGTTATTTGCGTCCAGCAACAAAATCTATGTCATCGTTTTCATAAAAAATGTACATGTTAAGATAGCATGAACACGGCTACAGGTCTCCAGGTGTAGCAGATTTTCAGTTTCTATTTTGTTGCTGGCTCTCTGGGGTGTTCTGATGTTATTTGCGTCCAGCAACAAAATCTATGTCATCGTTTTCATAAAAATGTACATGTTAAGATAGCATGAACACGGCTACAGGTCTCCAGGTGTAGCAGAATTTTAGTTTATATTTTGTTGCTGGCTCACTGGGGTGTCCTGGTGCTATTTACGATGAGCAACAAAATCCATGCTACCGTCTTGTTAAAAAAAGTGCACGCTAAATTAGCATGAACACTTGTAGTCGACTACAGGTTTCCAGGTGTAGCAGATTTTTAGTTTATATTTTGTTGCTGGCTCTCTGGGGTTTCCTGGTGTTATTTACGATGAGCAACAAAATCCATGCCGCCGTCTTGTTAAAAAAACTGCATGTTAAGATAGCATGGATACGGCTACAGGTCTCCAGGTCTAGCCAATTCTAGGGTTTTTTCAAAATTTTTTACACTATTTGTCAGCAACAAATTAGCAACAAATACTGATGTATAATTGCATTTAATCCATGCCGGTCCCGCTGAGTTTACTGCTAGCTTAACGTTAAGATAGCAGTAACTCCTTTTTTTCGAAATCGGACAAAGCAACAAAATCGGGGTTTTAGCAACTAATTAGCAACAAATTAGCCACAAAATACCGTATATGTTTCGAACGATTCTGCCAACCTTTCACTGCTATCTTAACACACCTATCTGTTTGCCAAGATGAAGATTGTGCTTGTGCAGTTACCACGAAGTTTTCTTTATAAGTAAGGAAGTTTACTAGAAGAGTAAAATTTAAATATCCTTTTAAATAATTATAAATTGTAGAAAACTTTTGTGCTTACAACCTATAACGAACTCTACAATCTCCATCTTTGCCTATTGAATTAATGTTCTCATTTACATATTGTTATATTCATATTTTAAGTAGGGTATCTACAAGGATTCATTTATTTTAAAAGTTATATACGCTTTTATTACATTAAAATATGAAATAAGTAATTCGTGTATATATATATATATATATATATATATATATATATATATATATATATATATATATATATACATTCATTTCGTGAATCTCGATACGATTTGGATTAAATTTTGTATTAAGAAAAGGTTTTGCTTTTCAAGTTTATCTATATACTAGCATTTCCCGCGGCTCTGCCCGCGTTCAGATGACAAAAAACCAAATTCTTAGGGTTTACATATTAGTATACTCTTACAATGCAGTTTTTGTATTTTTTTATCAGAAATGAGATATTCTCCCGCGGTAAAAAGTATTCTAGGTATATGTTGACCCGGATAACCAGCTATCACCATACCAAATTTCATCAAAATCCCTCCAGTGGTTTTTCTGTGATGCGGTAACGGACAGATAGATAGACAAACAGACAAAAATTGTAAAAGCTATAGATTATGCCTCTGTATCGATAATAATGTTTATTTCAATAAGATTTTCCAAAAAATATTTAATGTACAGATTCGGCTTTGTTACAATTTTATTATATATATAGATGTATGTGTCTTTTCTGAAAAAACGCAATTTTTATATCTTTTCTGCAAAACAAAGAATGAAACTCAGTCTCCCAGGTATTAATATGTATTTTAAAGACGAAATTTTGTAAGTGAATAAGTGGGTGTTTACACAATGTGTTTGTAATGTATTTACGATCTGTCACGATTTGAATAAAATTCGGAATTCGGAATAGGCAGAAATATTTGTTAAACAATGAAACACTTTTCCTGTTATAGCCGTTGTATTGCCAGTAATTAATAAAATTTATACACACAAGAGGAAATCATGCGTCCCGCCCAAACGATAAATATCTTCGTCGCCATACTTTTCCTGCCTGCCTGGCACCTGCGTAGACGAACACCACAGAGGTTGTACGAAGGCGCTTGATGTCTTAGAATAAGCTGGCGGCGTGTAACATGTTATCTTTTTTGTCCTTTCGCAAAAGAAGTAATGTAAAGCTATTATTAATTTTATGACTTCCCTTAAGCAGTTATCAGTTGAAAAGTACTTATTTTATTGCTGCAGACGCTATGGTATAATCTATCTATAAATACATGCATAAATAGGCAAAGAGAAAAATATATATATATTGACGAGTTTTAGTGTTATCAGAACAGAAAATGATTATAATCGAATTTCGACCATTATTTGTAATATGTATGTATTTAAAGTTATATATGTGTAGTGTATCAACTATCTGGTATCCATAACACAAGCCTCGTAGCTTACCATGGAACGAGATGGCGCTGTGTGTTAATGTCCAATCATATTAATGTCCAAACTGGAATTCATGACAGATATTTCTTACCAGATATCTTTAAAAGCACTGTAATTACTAATAACCGTCGAGCTTAAGGAATCTTTTTAATCTTAATTATGGGATAATACATTATATATATATCATTAAATTTAACTCTAAAACTTTCATCTAACATTGGTATTTGGTAGATAAATAGTAGGTGACCCTTCTATCGTAAGTGTGATCTGAAAGGGTCATAAAAATGTTTCAGTTGAAGTCAAATTTATGGCGAACCTACATTATCGAATTGCGGCTTAAATTATACATACGCTTTGAACATTTGTAGACTACAAATAGATTGTAGGTTGTAAATGTGACATTTGTATATATATTATTATTTTGTTAAACTTGTTTACTGTGTATATCATATTTTTTTCGTCCGTCAGTTTGTATGTTACAAATTTACATAATATCAACTCCCTTAGACAAATCAATTTCTAAAAATATATATGTAAACTAGCATTGCCCGCGGCTCTGGCCGCGTTCAGATGAACAAAAACCAAATTCGTAGGTTTTACATATTAATATACTCTTACAATGCAGTTTTTGTATTTTTTCTCAGAAATTAGATATTGTCCCGCGGTAAAAAGTATTCTAGGTATATGTTGACCCGGATAACCAGCTATCACCATACCAAATTTCATCAAAATCCCTCCAGTGGTTTTTCTGTGATGCGGTAACAGACAGACATCTTCATCTTCAGAAATATTAGCTATCTAATGACGACGTTCATGTTGAGACATTGTCATTTGACATAATATAGTAATGGCATGTCCGTATTACATTGCCTCATCAAATGGATTATTCGAAGTACACTTCATGTGACCTTTGTGTAGACGTGAGTTATTGATATTTCTTAGGAAGTTTCGTTTACTTTAATTCAACTTTAGCTTAACTTTCAATTCAATTAAATCCAATTTTTTGTTCATTGAATTGAATTGAAAGTTAAGATAAAGTTGAATTACTAAATGATATAACTTTTTTATAATTTACTAGCGACTCACCCTCGCTCAGCTCTGGTTCGTCCCTACTTACGTTTTTACGTTTAGTATAGATTTCTCAGAAATGAGATATTTTCTCGCAATAAAAAGTATCCTATATGTTGACCCGGATAACCAGCTATGACTATACCAAATTTCATCAAAATATCTCCAGTGGTTTTTCTGTGATGCGGTTACAGACAGACAGACACACAAAAATTCTAAAAACTATAGATTCGGCCTCTGTATCGACAATAATGTTTATTTCAATAAGATTTTCCAAAAAATATTTAATGTAAAGATTCAGCTTAGTTACAATTTTATTATATGTATAGAAAACGGTGAGAGTTCAAAAGTGACATTATTAAAATATCTCTACTGCTCTCGATTTTGATAGAGTTACAACTAATACATCCCACCCTTAGACAAGACGTCCACTCTACAATCATCATCAATCTCGGCGGTACTGTTTACTGATTTTCATTGAATGCCAAACGCCATAACAATTATATGCAATATGGTTATTCCTCAACGACCGCGGACACGCCGGCGTTACAGTTAACAATAGATTTCTTAGAAATTTAATTAATTTCTTAGAAATTTACCTGGAGATGTTAATAACCTAGCAAGTTTTCAAAAGTCATGTGAAATCTGCCAACCCGCACTTGGCCAGCATTGTGGACTATTGCCTGATCCCACTCGTATTGAAGGGAGACTCGTGCCCAGCAGTGGGATGTTAAAAAAAACTGAATAATATCTATTTATATACAAAAACTCATTAAACATTGATTTTAATGATAATAATAATAATTTATTAACTAAAAAATTCATAAGTTTTTTTCTTTTTATTTGTAATATATATATATATATATATATATATATATATATATATATATATATATATATATATATATATATATATGTATATATATACGAATATATAAATACGAATTTCATTTGTGTGCAAATACATAAGTCTAGTATGAATATTTACATTGGATATATAAATATTTATATTAAAGCAATAGTAAATATTTGTCCTGGTCTGTTTTGATCCTGTGACCTGCGATATAGGCAGACTATGGTAAGCCGGTTTTTGACTCCTCTACCGTGGGGTCTAGGTCACCCCCACCCTACACCACAAACCGTAATTAAATTTCCAATTACCATATGAAAACAGAGCTTATTCTGATATAAACCACATAAAATAATAATGTTAGAAGATAAACAATTTTGAATATATAATACTGTTATTTTAAAGCTAGTTTCAATAATCCTTTGCGCTAACGACATCGTTTGGAGCCTGACCGCACTTCATCGTTAAGTACATCGCATATTTAAACTGTTTACTTATGAAACGGTTACACTCACTTTGTGTAATGAAACACTATTTATTTTCCCAGTATATAATAATAAATAATAATAATAAATATGTTGGGACATTAACACACAGCACCATCTAGTTCCATGGTAAGCTACGAGGCTTGTGTTATGGATACCAGATAGTTGATATACTAAACATATATAACTTTAAATACATACATATTATAAATATAAACACCCATGACTGGAGTACAAACACTCATGCTCATCACACAAATGAATGCCCCCAGCTGGACTCGAACCCGCGACCGCTGGCACAACAAGTAGGGTCACTACAAACTAAGCCAAACGTGTCGTATATTCTAAATCTCCATTGTTAATATTTTAAACAAACAGGCGTCTTTATAATGAAATGACCAGAGAAGTGATTTTGGCCTATTTATTTCTGTGGTATAATATAGATTAATGTTTGTTCAAACCGCTGGCCTTTTATAAATCAGTGCTATTGAACGATAACTACTAATCCAAAGAGGCTTTACAAGTAATTTTTTTTATTGCGTGTGTTTTGTACTTGTATAGTAATTTATTTACAAAATCCTATAAAATATCTAATATCGAACTATAAAAGCAACGTGTTCTCAAAAATTCATCTCGCTGACGATGAGAATTCTAAGATCATCCTATAAACTGACCTTACAACGAATACGTGCAAAATTTTTATTACACTGCGACCGGTCGAGGGGACGAGAACAGAGATATCGTAAAATTTCTTGGGAGTTTTCATCTACTTTGATAAAAAATTATATGTAATTTTAGTAGCTGGCGTTCTTAAATAAGGTATTATAACAGACTAAGCATATCCTATAAAAAAAGTTTGCTCGTTTGGGATAGCAAGGAGACAAGAATATCTTCGGGATTTTGAATGGTTCATAAAAAAGGACAAACTAACTTGTGACAAATTAACCAGTGATGACTGTCAAAGTAAGAGGGCAATTTCAAGTGCGCCCTCTTCAAGAGGAGGAGAGAGAGGAGAGGAGGAGAGAGAGGAGAGGAGGAGAGAGAGGAGAGGAGGAGAGAGAGGAGAGGAGGAGAGAGAGGAGAGAGAGGAGAGGAGAAGCTCTAATTCTCTAGTTTCAATATGATCAGAACCAGGATCGTATAACAAAATATTCTAAGAACAAGTAGATAGCAAAAAAACATACCCATAGTTGTGCTACATCTATACTAATATTATAAAGAGGAAAGATTTGATTTTTTGTTTGCTCGTTTGTACTGAATAGGCTCCGAAACTACTAAACCGATTTAGATGAAATTTGGTAAGAAGATAGTTTGAGACCTTAGGATAGTTTTTATCCCAGAAATCATCCCTTAAGGGGGTGAAAATGGGAATGAAAGTATGTATAGGGAATCAACCTAGAAACGAACTCGATCGAAGCGAGGGTGAGTCGCTAGTATACCAATAAACAAGATTTTTCTATATTTACTCAAATTGACTGTCAATATCGTCATCTCTTTACTTCTTGAGTTCTAATATTCAGACAGTCCCAAGAGACGTTACCAATTTGTTATACTTTTACTTTAGTTCATATTAGATGAAATTTCCCTAGCGATCGTATTGACAAAATACCAACCGTTCATTTTCATCGCGAAAATTGACAATTTATTACAAACATAATACTTTACGCGTAGCTACAATCTCGCCAAGTATTTATTCTGAATTATTGTTTATGAAATACTGGGTTTTCTCTTGTTTTAGCATAGTGATATAACGGTTTATATCCAACCACTACGTACAGGCGTGATAATGAAAGAAAAATTTTCATATATGAGGAATAAATAATAATATTGAACTATCTCAGTAGTATTTAACAAAATATGAGCGTATAAGTGTGTGAGTGTTGTTACTTCTTCGCTCGAAATGAAAATAGTTTATACTATATTCAAACTTAAGACATACATACATTACTTTTAATCGATATATTATATCGATAATCGATGGCTACCAAGCGAGCGAATCGTATAACTAAAGCAAATATTTAATTATAACTAGATTTAACAAAGTTATAGACCCAATTTCGCCCAAATATTCAAAAGAATATTATAAAAAGCGCTTATAACCAAACTTGTTATCTCCAGCGCACTTAAAATGGGTAAAGCCCCAGTTTTATGAGTCACGATGCACGCATCAGTATCAAATCTCCACTTATCGAGTTTTTGTTAGGAAATAAAAAATATATAAACAGATATAAAATTGCCATTATGATGATGATATGAGGAGAAAATATGATAATCATTTAATTCAAAACATTTTAGTCCACGTATAGTATACTAGCATTGCCCGCGGCTCCGCCCGCGTTCAATGACCAAAAATCAAATTCTTATGTTTTACATATTAGTATTTTTTCTCAGAAATGAGATATTTTCCCGCGGTAAAAAGCATTCTATATGTTGACCCGGATAACCAGCTCATCATACCAAATTTCATCAAAATCATGCCAAATTTCATCAAAATCTATCCAGTGGTTTTCCCGTGATGCGGTAACAGACAGACAGACTGAAAGACAGACAGACTGACAAAAATTTTAAACACTATAGATTCGGCCTCTGTATCGATAATAATGTCTATTTACAATAAGATTTTCCAAAAAATATTTAATGTACAGATTCGACTTAGTTACAATTTTATTATATGTATAGATCTGAAAGTCTTTATATTAATAGTCGCAGGGTGTATTCATATCAGTTTCAGTTTATAGCCCAAAATGAGATTTCCACTAAAATCTGGATATATGTTGGATCAACATCACAAGGCGTTTTTTTGGACCGGCTTACCTTGTACTTTTGTTACTGCTGTATTGACTTCTATTCTAAAACGTAGTTTAATTTAAGCAAAGTTATCTCGACTCACTCTCAACTATGCAACAGTATTAAAATACAGAAATAGACCTCAGTTATTGGTTGAAGATTTCTCTACCCAATGGCTGTCTAGACGCGTGAAATTTTGCACAAAAAATTGTAAAGTATACAATGAAGACTTATGTAAGTATGCGAGAGTTTTTGAAAATTCTTTACTTAAAGGGGTTAAATAGGGAGTCAATTTTAAAGTAAGACGTGCCGAAATAGATAGCAATATAAACAGAAAACATAGAAAAAACTATCGCATGAATCTTAATAAATATCTAAGAAAATTCAGCACAAATTGATATTTGAGAATATATTTACCTTTAAAGTATTACTTATCACGTCATTAAAATAAAGCGTTAACTGTAGCACAAGTCATTAGGAAATGCCAAGAAAATGAGGCGTACTGACAAGGCTTTTCAGACTTAGAATATTATACTTGTCACAAAAAGGGATTCGAGAAATGCCGTTTGAAATTTAAAAAATATATAAGCGAAGCACAATTTACGTGATTTTTTTCATCTTTACGTATTTTTCTTGTGATATGCAAGTCATACATACATACACAACGGTTATGTCTGAAACAGTAATTGGTGTGATTTTTATATACATATAGTTTTTAGCAAAAACTATATAGCCGTATATGTCTTTATAGATCGAATATTTTTTTCATGGTAATGGATCATAATGATGTATACATATAATAAAATTCTAACTAAGCCGAATCTGTACATTAAATATTTTTTGGAAAATCTTATTGAAATAGACATTATTATTGATGCAGAGGCCTAATCTATTGTTTTTAGAATTTTTGTCTGTCTGTCTATCTGTCTGCAGCCAAATCAAGTAGCTAAATAGCAAGGCCAAAAAAAAGTAGAGTTTAAAGATGGCAATATAACAAGCGAGGAAGCTATAAAAACGCTGGCATCCTACAACAATCAGGCCAACACCACACAAAAAGAAAAACCCTCAGGAGACTTGTCGATGAATAAGTCCGAGTCTTAAGGAGCTTCTACACGAGGACTCCTCAAATCCTCAATAATATTTTATTAAAATTTTATTTTCTTATTTTATAAATTTAGAAAATAATCTCATTTAAATGAGATTATAAAGTCCATTTCTAATATTAAATTTAACTCTGAATGATATTCATTTTAAATCTTAAAAAGGATGCAAGCGTATTACTGTAATATTTATAATAATAATAATAATAAATAAATAAATATGTTGGGACATTAACACACAGCGCCATCTTATTCGATGGTAAGCTACGAGGCTTGTGTTATGGATACCAGATAGTTGATACACTACACGTATATAACTTTAAATACATACATATTATAAATATAATCAAAGCAAAACTAATAAAGAGCTCAAAAAAGATACATATAACATACAATACATGTTCATTGCTTAAAAAAATATAGTACACAGGTTCATCACACACCTTCCTGTTTTGGAGTCGGTAAATAAAAATGCCACCCGTAAGATACAGAAATATTAGATTTCACGTTTTAACATCAATTTACTCAAAAACATTTTTGAACGAATAGTTCACAAACACATTCGAAGCTGCTTTTAGTGACCAAAAAAGAAAGCGTCGGTTTTTTTGAATTTTTCAGTCTGTATAAACGAGACAGCCAAATATTTGAAAAAAATGTCAAAACTAATATTTCTATCATATTTTTTGTCTTTTTTGATTTTCAGAAGATTTTTTCATTTTATCATTGACAAGACTTGAATATGTCTTTATGAACCCCATATCATATGCCTCAAAATCATATAATCAATATATATATATATATAATATTATATATATATATATTGATTATATATATATATATATATATAAAATGGCAGGGGTATGAAAATATTTTTTTATAATCCGGTGAGGCTCAATAAAACAAAGGTTGGGAAACACTGCTCTAACAGATCCTTTCATCTTTTTGGTAAATTACCTTTTTGTGAATTCTTTATTACTTCAATTTATGAACATTTTACAAAATCTTTGACAGAGAAAATATATGTGATTAAATATTTCGCATGTAATCATATATACAAAGACATGTCTTTCTGAAATATTTATTCTAAATATATATGATACTAGCGGCTCACCCTCGCTTCTCTCGGGTTCGCCTCTAGGAAGACAAAAACAAACCTACCTTGCGATAACCGTACATTTTTCTCGGATAAAAAGTAGCCTATGTGTTATTCCAGACTATAATCTATCTCTGTGTCTAATTTCATCCAGATTCGTTCAGCTGTTCTGGCGTGATTGAGTAACAAACATACATCCATACCATACTCACAAACTTTCACATTTATAATATTAGTATAGATTTTGTATACATAAGCATTAGTTTTCTTTCCCTTAAAAGAGAGATAATATTAGTTTTTTTATCTATGCATATAATAAAATTCTGAGTCGAATCTGTACATTAAATATTTTTTGGAAAAACTTCTTGAAATAATCATTACTATCGCATCGTATAAATCTAAGAAAGTATTCTATTAGAGAACGTCTAAAAGACTACGAATTACGTATATAAAGAGTAAATATTTTCTTTTTTATTCTAATAGTTTCGTCATAAATGCAGTTGTGCCGACAGACAAACAAACAAACAAATAAAAATAATAACGCCTACAAGTTAGACCATGAATAAAACTATCTTTTCGGATTTTGTCGCGGATTTATTTGGATTTTTGTTTCCCGACGTTTCGAATGCTTTACAGCATCCATGGTCACGGGAGAGACCATTGGAGACGGGAGGTCTCTCCCGTGACCATGGATGCTGTAAAGCATTCGAAACGTCGGGAAACAAAAATCCAAATAAATCCGCGACAAAATCCGAAAAGATAGTTTTATTTTAAAATGTCAAATATTCGCGTAAATCTAAGAAAGTATTATTAGACCATGAAGTTTATTTAAAGCTATAATACGAGTAAAATTTGACAATAAAATCTAATAGCAATAATACTTAGGTACTTTGGATATAGATAAAATATCTCCGTAGATAAGTTTATTTCTACAATGAATATGGTTAGTAGAAAAGTATAATTAAAACGATAATTTCAAAGTATAAACTTTCTAATGGATGAATTATAAGAAATCTTCCGAAACGTCATAGTTGTCTTTTCTGAGAAAACGCTATTTTTATATCTCTACCGAATAACGCGTGCTTAAACGCCCAAGTACTTAAAAATATAAGCTGTAATGTAACAAAATGTATACTGAAAA